CCTTTTTCTCAGACCTATTAGATTATGATCGTTAGGTGATGCTTCAGGTTTTCTTAGGCAGCAGATTAACAAATGCTATAACTCGAATCCTAACCTAACAGCCACTATAACTCTAATCCAACTAAGCCAGTGGCTTCTTTTAAAGACAATCCGGGTCTTCCCAAGAGAGAGTAGGTGCAAGAGTAATGTGCGTTGAGGCCAACTGCTGTTGACATATAAAATATGTATGTTTCATCTTTATATTATAGATCCAGAAAGTATAACTCAAGGATGATAATTTAACCATTTCAGAGTCATGCATCTGAGATTCAAGACATTGATTCCAGCTATAGAACTGAAATTAAAATCAAGCAAACCTGGTAAGGGGAGTGTATCCATCTGGAAAAAGTAAATTCAATACCATATTATTGAATTGATACTGAATTTACATATATTGAACTTTGGTTGTTCTCTCCCATCTAGACATTTGCAAGGCATAGAATAACAAACATTTGCCCTAAATTGGTAGTTAAAAGCATTTATTTCACAACCTTATGTAGTATGTGACTTTCTTTCAATTTTATAGGACAGGAAATCAAATCCCAGAGTGGTTAAAATATTTGATGCAAGTGCCAGACCCTAAATCTGGCTGTTTCTTTTTTATGACAGTTCATACTGCTCTTTCCTGGAAAGTATACCCCCCTCTTCATCTTGCTGACTCTTACTTGTCCTCCAGCTTAGCCATCAACTTCTCTAGGAAACCCACTCTGGAAAATACTGTTACCATGTCCTGTCTGACTGGGGTGTGCTTCCTCTCTGTTAATGCATGTTACAACCCTATTTGCATGGTACCTTCCCTGGTGATTTATTAGCTTGGGAAGAAATCAAAGGCAACATCCCTCCTCATTTAATTTTGTACCCAGTAATTATTTGTTGAATGAAGGAGTGGTCTGAGATGAAGCCAAATCCAGTGCCCTAGGGAGTCAGCTCACTTGATGTTGTTCATTTCTGAATACAGCTGGAGGCAAAACAAAGATCACTGGTTCAACATACTCTATGTAACCCTGAGCCTTCAGGAGACATGCTCAAATAAATAATAGGCTTCTCTCAGGAGCCATGGGACTGTTCATACATCAGAAACCCAAATCCATGGGGTTTCAGCCTAGCTAGAAGAGAAAGCAGCATAGTCTGTGATTAAGAGAGAAGCTTCTGGAGCCAGGCCTCTTGGTTTGAATCACGACTCTGTCATTTTCCTAGTAGTTGCCTTAGTCTTTCTGTACCTTGATTTTTAATCATCCACATGAGAATAACAACTTAATCTGTATTAGTTACCTATCATTGGGTAACAAATTACCCCCCAAAATATGGCTCAAAACAATAAACATTTGTTATTTCACATTTTCTGTGATGAGGAATTTGGGAGGGGACTTATATAGTTGAAGGTCTCTCATGAGTTGCAGTTGAGATGTCAGATGCAGCTATGATCATCTGAAGCCTTGGTCGAGGCTAAAGGAGCCAATTCCAAGATGGCACACTCACATGGTCGTTGACAGGAGTCCTTAGTACTTGCCACAGAGACTTCTCCTTTCAGTGTGACAGCTAATTGCTCTCAGAGCAAAAAGGAAGTCTCAATAAATTTTATGACCTGTTCTTTGAATTCCACACTATTACTTTTACCGTATTCTATGTTAGAAGTCATTGCATTGGTCAACTTTCTACTACTGGAACAAATTGCCCAACTTACACAGATTATAGGAGCAAAGCTTTATATTATCTTATTTTATATTATTATTATCATTATTTGTCTTTTTGAGACAGGGCTTCATTATGCAGTTCAGGCTGGTCTTGAACTCACTTTGTAGCCCAGGCTGGCCTCAAACTCATAGCAATCCTCCTGCCTCAGCCTCCTGAGTCTGGGATTACAGGAGTGCGCCACCACACCTGCCTGAAAGCTTTATTTTAGCTTACAGTTCCAGAGATTTTAGCCCATGATTGACTAATTCCCAGGCAGATGCATCATGGGAGAAGGGTATGTTGGAGGAAAGCTGCTCACTTCCTGCCAGCCAGGAAGTAGAGAAAGCAAGGAAGAGTCAGAGACAAAGGAAGGGGCTTAGGACAGGATATATTCTTCAAAGGCACACCCTCAGTGACCTATTTCATTTACCTAGCACCTTCCTCCGGGCAGCCCATTCAGGTTGTGAATACATCAGTGTATTAATCCATTGATGAATTAGTTTCCTTATGATCCATTCACCTCTCTAGGCCCCACCTGTGAACATTGCTGCATTGGGGATCGAGCCCTTAGTACATGGATCTTTGGAGACATTTCATTTTTTGTTTGTTTATTTTGGTTTTTTTTTTTTTTTTTTTTTTTTTTTTTCTTGTACCGGGAACCAAACTCAGGATCTTGCTCTTGCCAGGCAGGCACTGTGCCACTGAGCTAAATCCCCAGCCCCGACATTTCAAATTTAAGCTATGACAGTCATTAACCTCAACCCACATTCAAGGAGAAGGGAATTAGGCTCCACATTTTGAGAAGAGTTCCAAAGAATGTATGGATATATTTAAAAGTCATCACTTTATTATGTAGGGTTGAGTGATAATTACATGAGATAATAATTGCCAAGAACACAGAACAGGACCTACAGAACACTAAAAAAGATTTTCCCCCTCTCTCATCTTGAGTTACTTATTTTATAGGTAAGAAAGGATAAGTCAGCTTTCAATCTGAAGGCTTTAGCCTGAACAATCGCTTTTAAAAAACGGAGCAAAGATTCTGAGTCCAAGTTAATACCATCAACTATTAAAGTTATTTATGTCATTCTTTACATGAAAAGTTGTTTGTGATATAATTTGAATTTTTAAAAGCAGGTACAGAACAATATATAGGATACAAAGTGGTATTAATGTGGCTATATACACACATCTCTGTGCATTGATGCATAGTGTGTATTCTGCAAAGTGGGTCCTCAAAGTACTAATAACATTTGTCTCTCTCTAGTGGCATTTGTATTGTTTTAACAACTTTTTCTCCTTTTTATTTTCTACATTGTTTGAATTTTTTACTCAAGAATATATCTATAAAAATAAAAGATGCATTTTTCCAAAGAAATACAACCAACCAACCAAACAAACAAACAGAAAAACTAGGTTGGAAGGAAACAATGAAAGATAGAAAGGATTAGGATGCTGAGCTAGGGCATTGCTGCTCCGTGTTCTCTGATCCTTCAGAGTATTTGAAGACCTGCATATATTGGGATCAGGTGAGACTGTGTTGTTCCTAAGAGGACATGTCTGAGAGAAGGGGTAGTGGTAGCTTTTTGGAAAAGAGGAAACACAGAAACCAGGGGAAAAGGAACATCTGCATGGCAGAGAACAAAGGCAAAACAAAAGTGGTGTTGATAACAGAGCATGGCTGCTGAACTGCCTTGGGAGGAAGAGCTCCACCTAGAAAGGAATAGTCTACTCTTGATGGGATGTGCTGATTTTATGGTACATCCTTTGTAATTTCACCTCCCACGCTAGATGGAAATTTGGTTCATTCCATTCTCTAATAGAGGTGCAAGCAGGTGCTGGATGTCCAGCATGTAACCTAGTACCCAAAGTAAAGATGAGGTTTAGTAATGTGTTTGGAGACTAAGGGTAGATTAATTTACATTTTAAATAATGTGTTTCAGAAATCAAAATTTTTATGTCTGTTGATACTCAACTTCAGTTTTTTATTCAAATGACAGAAATTAAAAAACTTTGTATGGGGGGAATGTAATAATAGCACCTAAAGATATTTTTTAAAATTTTAAAATCTGCCTTACTTTCGTGTTTGCCTCATTTGTTCCTTATTCACTCTTTTTTCCTGGCTTTTAAAATTGATTGAATTTTTTATGCCTTTAATATTTTTTGTCTGGTACCTATATCTTTTTAAAAAGTGGTTCCTTTAGCGTTTACAGTATATATCTTTAACTTACCACGATCTACCTTTAAGTAATCATTATAACTGCATGTGAAATAATAAACTTACAGGAATATATAGTTCCATTTTTTGTCTCTTGACCTTTGTGCTATTTGTTTATACATTTTACTTCTATATCTGTTAAAAATGTCACATATTATAATTAATTTTTAAATGGTCAGTTATCTTAAGATCATAGCTATGTTATTAAAATAAAAATTGTATTCACTTACATATTTAATGTTTTTGAGCTCTTTATTCCTTTATATAGATACATGTTTGTATCTGGCATTTTCTTCCTACTTAAAGGACTTCCATTGTCATTTCTTGTAGTATAGGCCAACTGGTGATGAATTCTTTTGGCTTGGTATGTTGGAAAAGTTTCTTCATTTTCAGAAGACATTTTTGCTGTGTGTAGAATTCTGAGTTTTAACCCTTTAAAGATTCTAAGTTTTAACCCTTCAAAGCCAGGGATTTAGCTCAGTGGCACAGCGCTTGCCTGGCAAGCGTGAAGTCCTGAGTTCTATTCCCAGCACCAAAAAACCAAACAAAAAAAAGATTTGCTCCACTTGCCTCTGGCTTGCATTGTTTCTGATGAAAAGTCTGCTGCCATTCTTATATTTGCTGCTCTTTATTTAGTATCTTATTTGTCTCACTTCCTTGGCCTCTCTGAAGTCTTAACTTTATCTCTTCTACTCAGGCTCTACCTGAGTTCATCTTATGGTCTGGAAACTCTCTAAGTAGTAAATTAGACATTTGTAAGATTTGCATAATTTTTTTTCTTTCAGAGATTGCTATTCTGTGTTGCTTTTTCAATATTTGAGAACTATTTTTTGACCTTCTGTTTTATAGTTACTTAAGGTGAAAGAATAAATTTGGTTCCTGTTGCTCCCTTTAGGTTGGAAGCAGAAGCTTGAAATGTTACAACAAAATTAAAAAGCATTAAACTAATTTTTGATTATAAAACTTCTTTCTCAAAATTAACCTATAATTTGTATTAGCTTAAAATTATAAGCTCATTTTCAAAAATATGTTTAATGCCAGTGTTTGACATTATCCTTTTTTCTTGCAGGCTACAGGAAAAATTCAAGCTGGATTTTTAAATTATTGCAAGCTAATAATGGACCAGAAGTTGAAGAATGCAATTCTGAATAAAAATCTTCAAAAATTTTTGTTCAAATAACAGAGGAAATAACATTGATCTACTGTCTTAAAACTCCAATTCAGAGTAAAATATTCATGATAGGAAATTATACTGGAAAAAATTTATATGGTTCTTAATATATCTGGATGAAAAGAATTGTCACTTTGTTTATCAGAAGGACTTATATATGTCTGAGATTATTTTAAGTCATTTTATAGAAATCTTGACATTATCACCAAGGAGAACAAACAGAGCTGAAGGCTGTGTATTGGTCAAGATGACTTCTGAAGAAATAGCAGCTTCCATTCTCATCCCTGTGACTCAGAGAAAAGTGGTGTCTGCACAGTTGGCTACAGATGAAAGTAGTGAAAGGGCATCAGATATCAGTATTCCAAAAGTACATACTGTCAGGCAGAGTGGGCAGACTTCTAACACCATCTCACGGTGGAACAAGTTTAAAGAAGTATCTTCTGGAAGCAACTTGCCCAAGGTTCTCTCAATAGCAAAGGAGAAAACAGTGAATGATGAGAACAGCAATGAAAAGTGCTATAAGACAAGCACATCGGGTTCCATAAAAAACCTTAACATTAACTGCAACAGCATATTTCAAAACCATCGGCATGGCCTTCCTCAGAGCCAGTTTTATGAAACATGCAACTCTGTCATGGAGGAAGACCCATGTCTCAAAACTGGAATTCCTTCTCCACTGGAAGAAAAGGTGTTCTCTGGAATTCAACTGGAAATGGATGGGCCTCCCATAGACATCAGTCCTTTGGGAAACCATCCTGGGATCATAGAGAATGACAGAGCACACCCTGACAGCAACACAGCAGTATTTCACTTTCATTACGAAGTTGACAGAAGAATGTCAGACACGTTTCATACTCTATCCGAAAACTTGATTTTGGATGATTGTGGAAACTGTGTACCACCTTCTGAGGGGCAGCACAAGAAAAATTATGTGGCATATACATGTAAACTGATGGAATTGGCAGAGAGCTGTGATAATGAGAAAGGGCAGCTTCAGTGTGATTGTGGTACTTTGAATGACAAATATCTGTGCTGTGAAGGCTCTTGCGAGAAGGTCAAGCTGGTATGTTCAAGTGATCACTTTTGCAGGAAGGATTTTACTGACCGTCCACCTGCCAAGGCCTTTCTGAGCCATTTTGAAGACTGCTCTGATAATTGTGAAGATATAGAAGAAGATCTTTTTAAAAGCAAAAAGGAGCGGTCCACTTTGTTAGTTAGAAGATTTTGTAAAAATGACAAGGAAGTGAAGAAATCTGTGTATACCGGGACAAGAGCAATTATGAGAACTCTGCCTTCTGGCCACATTGGGGTGGTGGCGTGGAATTATGTTGATCAGAAAAGAAATGGTCTCTTACTGTCTTCTGAGAAAGCAGTTCAACCTCTGTCAAGGCTGGACCTAAGACAGGGTGGGAGCCAATGTCTGTCAGTAGTCCGGTGGTATCTGGTAAGAGTTAAGTTTCTTTTCATCGTTTCTTTAAACTTAAACTTTTAAAAATCTAATTCATAGAAAATATTAAGAGCTATCAAATTATGATTCTTATGGGAAGCATTTATGGCTGTTGCAAAATAGATACACCAATTGATACTATCAAAATTGAATCAACTCTTTAATAACGTAAGTAACAGAAGAGGAATTTGGGAGATTTCCTGGTAGTAAGAAAATGGCTCCATCCCTTCTTCGTCTATGGAGATAAGTGCCTGAGTCCTCTTTTGCTGTAGTTAACTGTTAGGTTTTTTAGGTTTCCAGACCTAAAAGAACTTAAATCTGGTTGTTTACATTTTCCAACCAATAGTCTTTGTCTCCTCTCTCTTAAATATTTTTGTGCCATCAACCCTTTTAGCAAACTAATGAATTCTGTTTTTATTTATTTTTTAAGACTAATGCTTTTAAATACATCAAATGAAATAGAAACTATTATAGTGTATGTTATGTTAATATGTTAATATTTATCAGATATAAGATTCTTAAATTGTGATATAACAATTTAAATGGTTCTTCATTAACACACCTAATAATAATACAGTATTTACTGATATTATAACTACTGTAATTTCAAAGCAGTGATGAATATAAGTGGGAAATAGTTTGCTTGAAACTTTTTGACTTTTTGCAGTACGAGACCTACATCCTGAGAAAACACTCATTTCTGGGCAAATTGGGGCAGTTGGTTACCCTAAATATTATTAATATTTTAGGATAACTCCCACAACTGTTGTGTGATGTGCAGATATCTTTGGTATCTCTTAGCGGCAAAATCACAGTTACTGCTGCTTCTACTGAGGTTTGTTGTCTATGTTCACAGTTAAAGGAAATGTTAAATTTCTATTTGAGAATAATGACAATATTCATCTTTAATCTTTATTGAAATTTCCAGGTCTTCTGAATTTTACCTATGGTCCACCTTCTTTTCAGTTAAGAATTTTGCTCTAGAAATACATCTGATCAGGCCACCTGCTCTTGAGCTGATCTTCACATCTGAAGACAATACTGTACCATTTACCCTCGCACTTGTTTCTTATCTTTGCTAAACATTTCTGCTTCCTTTAGCCACTCTATACAGGACATTGTTTCTAGAACTCTGACATCCCTTGCTGGGCTTGTTGGCAAATGCGTCAAATCCCACTACTCGGTAGACTGAAGCAGGAGAATCACTGTGAGTTCAAGGCCAGCCTGGGCTACATCAGCGAGTTCAAGGCTAGCCTGAACTACACAGTGAGACCCTATCTCAAAAAAACACAAAAGAACAACAAAAAAACCCTCTCACAGTCCAGTTCTTCGCTGTTCCTTTGAAGCCTGACCATAGAAATAAACAGTATTTTAAAAATCCCTTTTTTAGAAATAGTTGGTGCATTTTCATTTTTATCATTATCATGGTCATAATTATGTAATAAGCATTTAGCATGTGTTAGATATTGGGCGAAATAATTTATGTACTTACTGTCATGCAGTCCTCTCAACTGCTGAATGACGTTGGTGTGATTGATAACCTCATTTTATTACTAGGAAAACTGTCTCTGGAAAGTCATGCACCTTGTCCAAGGTCATTTAACTGGGAAATGGCATAACTAGGATTATAATCCAGGCAGTTTTCTTTTATGGAGTTTTTCAACTCCAGATGGAAAAACAATTAGAGTAAGCTTTTGAAGGAACAGAGGTCTCCTGTCCATATGGGCATCTGTTGATTGAGTTGCCCCGCTATTGTTGTTTGTGGTATCTCAGACTTGGCTGTGTTAGATAGCGTGATTCTATCTCTGGGTACGTGGTGTGGTATCCAGGCCCCACCAAGCCCCTTTGCATCATAATCACTGGGGTCAGACACAGCTTGAATATTATTTCATAGTTCCTTTAGTGAACTGTGGACTCCAAGGAGCAGAAAATCATTGACTAGGAACTTAAAACTAGGAACTTAAACTGAGTTCACTTCTGTTTTTTTACTTCCTTCCTTCTTTTTTTTTGAGACAGGGTCTGCCCTGAACTCACTATGTAGCCCAGGCTGGTTTGGAACTCACAGTGATGGATCCTCCTGCCACAGCCTCCCAAGTTCTGGGATTACAGGTGTGTCCCACCACGTCCAGACTGAGCTCAGCTTCTTGATGAGGACATTCTTGGAATATTTGTTCTGGTCTAAAGACCCTGATACTGCTTGGGCTGTCAGGGACAGAGTCTGAGAACTGAAAGCCGTAGGATTTTCTCTGTGCAGCTCACCACTCACCCAAGCCAGTGTCCCAGGATCTGTTTCTGGGTTTCTTTACCCCATCCCACATGAAACCTGAGTCACAGGCAAGGAGTTTTTCAGAGGCTTGCTGGCCTGCTATGTAGATGCGCCTCTCCCACAAGCTGCTGAGAGCAACATGTCACCCTGTGTAAAAGCTTAGGGCTTTCTAAAATCATGTACAGTTAAACATTAAGAGAACATCAGAAATTTAAATTGGGGATATAGCTCAGCAGCACAGTGCCTGCCTGGCAAGTGCAAGGTTGTGAGTTCAATTCCCAGTACCCCCCCAAAAAATAATAAATTAATAAAAATTAAAACGAAAAGAAATTTAAGTGCAGCAAAGTGAATGGGAATAGATTCTTCAAAACCTTTGTCATAGTTCCTAACAAGACTTGCGAGTTTGATGTAAATTTCAGAATAACTGTGGCCTGCCTGTGCTTTCTCCCACTTAAGTCCTATTTGCAGCTTTGTGCTGTTGCTTCTGAGCGCAGTCACTGGTCTCTCTCTCAAACCTGTCCTCAGATGGGCTCTTGGCTGGCTCACTCCCAGTGAGAAGAACTGAGAAGGAGGCAATGCACACTGTCTCCTTCCTGCTCAACCTTTGGAGGCTGAGATAGGTTGCCATACTTCTGTCAGAGTCATGGCAGGAACTTCTCTCTCCTTCCCACCAGATTCAGATGGATGTGGGCATTTTTATTAACCTTTAAGATGCAGCTGGGGAATGTGCTGGCTGTCCTTTCAGTCCTTTCTTAGTGGAGATTTCTGAAAGGGAGATGCTTTTTAAATGTGCACACTATATATGGCAGATATTCATTAGTATCTCCTAGTGTATGGTCTTTTCTACATTGTGTTCTTTAGTTTGGAATCTGGCAGAAAGCTTTGTCAGAAGTTGCACAGGTGAATTATGACCACATGCTCCCTGGTCCATAAGTTGCATTCTTCAGCCAGAAGATGCATACCCCTCAGATATGCTTATGTTCTGTGTTCTGGTTATTTCCCATGTGTCCCACCTGGTTCCCTCATTAAATTGTAAACTTAGTAAGAGCAAGTTCTGAGCCTTATATTTTTTTAGTCTTCAGAAGTGTAATGCCATGTATATACAAAACAAGGGCAATATCATGGTTAGAAATAGTGTCTCTGGAATTAGTCAACCTGAATTTAAGATGTGACTCTGACTCCATCACAGACTGGCAGGTTTTTAACCTCCTAATTATCTTGTATGTAAACTGGGAATAAAGGTGTTATTGGAGGCACTAAATGAGTACTGCCCTCAGCACAATCCCTGTGACAAGTGAGCCCTGCTGTCCTTACTCTGACACTTATTATCTGCTTTGTGGTGGGAATGATTTCTACCTCCTTCTGCTCTTTGGTGGCATCTCACTCAGGAATGCATACAGCAGTATGAATCTGAGTGTAGTTACCTCTCCGTACCTGCAGATTTTGCACCTGCAAATTCAAACAAATGCAGATCTAAAGTGTTTGGGGGAAAAATGTGTCCATAGGGAACACGACCAGACTTTATTCCCTTGTCACCATTCCTCATACCGTGCAGTATAACAACTATTTATGCAGCATTTACATCATATTATTTATTATAAATGATCTAGAAATGATTTAAAGGGAGGATATGTATGGGTTATTATGTACCATTTTAATTACTATATCATTTATCTGCACTTGAATATCTGCAGATTTTGGGCTTCTAGAACACCTCCCACAGGCATAGCAAGAGATGACTCTCTCTTAATCTAAGATATGATAGCTTAAACAGTTCTTCCCCACGTGTTGAAAGAACATATTACTTGTCCAATTAATTCTTTGGTGTCACATTTTAATTTTTTTCTTGAATATCTTGGTCAACATGGCCCAGTTAATTTATATTTGCACAGCTTTGTAGAGAAGAATGGATCTGAGTGGAAGACATTAATGAGGATTAATGCTTGCTGACTAACTATATTGGTATCCTCCTCCTCTTGCTAGTAAAAAAATTAAAACCTCACCCCTTATCCAGTTACACTCATTTTCCCTCTCTCCTGCTTTCAGTTTTTTGGCTCAACAAAGTAGAATATTTTGGCAAGGGGCTAAAGTCTCCTGGTTAAAGACTGATTAGAGGTGTTTATCTTTTTTGAAAAAATGTTCTCCCTGCTGAATTTTAGGGAGTTTAGATACCTATCCTGAAAGTTAAGTTCATGATCCTGCTTCTGCTGCCAGACTCTTTCATGTAACCTGAGTTCCATGTGTGCTGAGGTTGGAACTCCCAGAAAGCGGCGGGGATGACTAGGGCAGAAATTCCTTTAGCTCCTGTGTTAGCACTTCATTTATTCCTCTTTCTTAACCCACAAGAGAATTAACTGCAGAAGAGTAAGTATGCCAAAATAAAGAAAAAAGGATTTCAGACTGAATAAAAAGCAAAGAATAAAAATGAAAAGAATAAATCAAAACATAAAGAAAAAGAATAAACACTATATTTTCAAAATATCAGACTAGAAAAACTTTAAAGAGGGAGGTCAAAACCAGTTTCAGTATTCTGCTTTCTTCCTTCTGAAATGCATCTTTATGATATATTATTTACTGTTAAGCACAGAAAATTAAACTTAAGAGGAAATTATACATTTTTGAGTGTTGAACAATATCTTTGTTGTTATATGTGTCCTTGATTCAGTGTTTTGTCTCATTTAAATTGAAATGAAATCAGTCTTAGGAGATATAATGCTGTTTTGTTAAAAGA